TCCTCCCCGGAAGCTCGATTTCTCGCTCATTTTTATCCATCTGTGTCTAAGAAAAATCAAAATAGCTGCATGCAAATCTTGGAAAGTAAAATTAGAGATATAACTAGTAAACAAATTCAGTAATTTCACCTCCAAACGATTTTTTGCTATGCTCGAAAAAGCTAACCGAGAAACCAAAAAACTTTCGCCCAAAAAAATCAGAACCTCACCGCCTCTCTAAAAAAACAGAACTTTCTCTTTCTACAAAATATGAGAACACGAAAGGTTTGACAAATTAACACTTTTACTTATCAAATTATAAAATAAAGAGACCTATACATATACCACACTCGTATTTACATTTCGATCAACTTTACTTTCAAAAAAATCTCGTTAGATATGCTTCCTGACACGCCGAACAAATGCTATGCCTAGACAACAACACACTACACTTAGCTAAGTCAGTAATATATAGGGGCATAATTGTCTCAGCATAAGTCGAACAGTATCGTTGTTATCTGAGTAAATACATTATATAATTCTTTGTTACTGACTGCAAATACTCAAAAAAAAAAAAGTGTTTTGTTTTGCCTTTTAGGATATTAAGTTGTCTAATCTCAAGTCGGCAAGATCCCTATACTATACGTAAATTACAATATAGCCCTATATTTTTCTTCTGGTTTTGAAAGAAAAAAAAACCCGTCTCAATCTCTCAAGTCGACCAAAGCACTGAAACAAAACATTTAATTACAGTCAAGCCCCTACACTCCTTTCCACTTTCGAAACTTCCACATAATTAAAAAAATTGAATAAGAGTACTAATGGACAAATAGAGGATCCAAACGGATGCATGACCAAAATATAGCCGTTGGGGAGTGAGGAAGAAACACAGTAACGGCTATTTTTTCCTTTTTCTCTCTTTTATTATTATATATAAAAACCTTTTCTCTTCTCACTACATTGATCAAATCGCTCTTCAATTCTCTCTATAAACTCAGCTTCATCTCTCAAATCTCTCTCACATTCTTCTGCGCAGAGAACACTTTTAGATCTAGAACAACAAACACAGAGAAAACAAGTATGCTGTTTATTTCTTTCGATTTCTTCACTTTTTGATCTGTTACTTCTTCTCGATTTGTCTTTGATTCTAGTAAAATCGTTCAATTCGAAATCTGGAATAACGGATTTGAG